GGCTCGAGTCAAGTGATCGATCCAGTTTCTTAAAGTACACCTCGGGACCAGCCTTCTGGAGTTTGTGACGTTCAGCCGCTCTGCGTCTGGCCAACAATGCTCGCCTTGTGTACAGCACCTTGTCGTAAGCAAGCTGAAAGGATAGTACTATGGTTAACGATTTACTGGAAAGTTGAAATATGTAAACACGATTCTGGTTGGAGATTAGCTTCCTAATATTAGGTTTTATAAATAGTCCCCGCGGTAACATGTAGTAACTAACATTTTTCGATTGAAAATCAATTGTGATCAAGTATTTTGACCATTATTATTATATTTTTGATCTTTTGCCAATTGTCCGGTAATTTCAATAACATTGGTGTGGAACTGCTGGTTTTTAGACGGAGAAAACTTGGCCTAGTGATTTTCAGGAGCGCTTCGGTCGGCTAAATTCTTATCGTCAAGGGAGTTTTGCAGAGATTGAAGTAGATGATAGTCATACGAGGCGGTCTGGACCGAGTCATCACAGATGTGTAGGGAGCGCAATGTCGTGGTGAAGAACTCCCTTTCTGTTGGCCAGATCTGGTCTCTTTTTTGATTACTTCGTTCAAGCGGTTGAGCAGGAGTTGTCCGGATTGTGTGACCGAATTATAGGTTCGCCAAGTTGCCACAGCTCATAACAGCAATCCCCTCCCAGTCAAACCAAACACAGGCCGGCCAGATCAAAGTGCATCTTTAATATTCAGGTTTCCGCATCGATATTTAGCAAACCAATCTCGGACTCCTTGTTCACTAACAGCGTCTTACACATCACATTTTTTTGTGGCATGTTCTTGCAGCGGATTTGCTTCGGTAAAAAAAGCAGCACTTAACAACGCAACAAATTAGAGAAGTCTTGAGTCTTGGCAAAAAAGTGAGCTGGAATGTTAATTTTTACGCATACATTTGTTCGAGACAAGCCTCTGAGTGCTGTACCAGAACTTGTGGCGAAAAACCGCGGAAACTTTTCATAAAACCTAATGTTATCGAGAATGACTGCACAAAGTTGAAGGGAAACAATGGAAAATGAAATATGACTGCACAAGACTTTCCACTAGCAAGTTACTTCAACGACTTGGTAAAAGCTAGACGTTGATTACTTAGCCAATTAAAATCGAAACTGATTCATAAATAAATATATACATATATAAAATCATAAATACGTAAACTCACAAGAGGATTTGACAGAATCGACTTCATTACTCGTTTCATCTTCGCTGTATTCAGATGGTAGGGATTCACACGACACGAAAAATCCATAATCTGTCAAAAGAATTCCATGAAGTAACAAAAATGTAAAGCAACTACGACCATTATTTTCACTGTACACTGGCGAACTCAGAGATGCCCATATAATTGGAAAACTAACGCTGATAACGTAGCCGTCTTCTCTCTTAGGTCCTAATGCATCTATTGCTTCAAACTCGGCAGCGACTGCGGCAGCTCGCTCTTCCTTAGTCATCGCATAGAAGTCCTTCTTTGGTACAAGACTCTAAACGAACAGTACTGCAGAAACCGGGCTGAAGTTTTCGAGACATTCTCTGAGCACACCTTCACATCAATTCCTATCGCTTTGAACTCATCAGGACGAATGTCCCTAAAACGATCCTTCTTGCATGAATCGCTATCGTCCGGGTAATACACATCATCGTTGAAGCTGTCATCCTGAAAATCCTGGGCAAAGCTTCCGTTCTCAGAATGCATCGCAGAACTTGGTCTTCTTGACGTCTGTTCAGATGGTGGTGCAGGAGTGACTTTGCCGTTCTCCATACTAGGCTGATCCCTAAATCCGATAAGCTGTTGGTTCAACTCGCAGGTTGATAGCTTTAGAAAAACGCACTCGTCTGGCAGGGTACGAAATCCTCCATAGGTAGTTAGCCATTCGTCACAAACGCCGCCGTCAACATCGGGAGCAAGCACGTTCTGCTGAGGTTCTTCGGCTGCTGGTGACTTTTTGAGTGTACCATTAAAAGGCAGCTCTGAGCTGCTTGGTGAACGTTTGATCTCCACTTTTACACCAGGATAATGTCCCTGCAATGTATTTACCGCATTACATCATATAAGCAAGCAAATACAAGTAACTTGAGTTGTACATATGATGACGAACCTTCTGAGCTACTCCAGGCTTCACAAAATTCTCATATTTGTATTCCTTAAGTGCCCGTCTGAGAGGAGGCTTTCTTCTCAGGAAGATGACATCCTCTCCGCGCGTAGTACTACGAGATTCCGTCACAGAAAAACGATCTTTCAGTGAAAACGGTGAGTGCACTTCAGACTTCACAAAATATCTAAAACAAAGAAGTGAACCTATAAGATGGGAAGTCGCCGTAGGACTAAGTGAAAACTCATTTCCCTCTAAAGAAAAACTCACTCTTGTTCCATCACTTCCACCTTTACTTCCGGCTCAGTCTTGATTTTTTTCTCTTTTTTCTTCGGTGGTTCTTCCAAGGTGTTGTTCAGCTTTTTACCTAAAACTTAGTCTGAGTAACGAGAAATGAAACTTGAAGGTTCGAGATTGAAAAATTTTCTGAACAGCTATTGGTAGAGAGATGGCAAGGATGAGTTTCTAGGGTTTCAACGAAGAGCTTGATAAGTTTCCTTGTCCAACTACCGATACTATCGGTCTCTCCATTCCAGGTACGTCCGGTCCCCACCATCAACTGGCGCCTTGGCGACTGAGGTGAAGATGATGTCCTAGACCGTAGCGACGTTGACGGAGCTGCTCGATGATGGAGGTTTCCCAGATCGAGAGTACTGCTCTCCAGGTAGCTATTTATGGGTGACTCCATACTAGAAGTTTCGCAGCTGTTCGGAGGTGACATGAATTCCAAAGGTCTTCTCCAGTCAGGTTGCGGCTGGAGATGACTTCATGTTTTGGTGTACATGAAGGTGATGGGCGAGAGCCAGCTCCTGCTTGTAGAGGAACATCTTGGGTATCCTTCCGCCCTGGTACTCGTATCCACGTCCTATCTGGGCTGCGAAAACTTTGCTGATATGTGACTCGGTCGAAAGTGTTTTTTTTTGCCCCCCCCCCTGTATAGGCGGCTAGATAGCGCTATCAGCCTATATGAACACGCTTTTATATAAATCTAGCATGACTGTGTCCTCTTGTAAGTCTGTAATCAGTGTGTATGTTGAATGTATGTACAGGTCATATCTGAGGAGAAAAAGAGGCGCTGCGTTTCCAACATATGCGTTGCGGCGACGATGTGAGAGCCCAGAGGAAGGGCAGACATCTGTACAAGAGTAGAGTCGGCACGGAGATATTGCCGCCGTCGCCAATCTAGCAACTATACTCGATAACATCCTTTTCTGCCCTCCGATGAGGATAGTATGTGTGAAACCCACCTCGGTACACCCCCTCCCTCACAAATTAAAGGTGAGTTTGTGCGGAGAGGGCGCAGAATGCACCAGTGTAAAAAGCATTGGACCTGAACGGAAACGGGATAGAAGAACCGACTGCTAACAGTTCAAGAGAAACAGTAAGGCTTACGCTAACAACTTTTTGTACACCACGGCTGCAGTGGTCACGTTCTAGGGCTATATGGGTCCCAGTTTGAGGAACTGATACATCAGCCGGCAGCTCACCCAAAGGGTACGACCGCACTGGACACTGGAAGACTGCACGTGCAGAGGACGGACAGCCAGCAAGGTGGAGACCCTTATGGAAGAAACTGGTAATAGCATCTGTCACTTTTTCTGCAGTACAAAACCTACAACAACTTCATAAAATCTTGAAGCGCCTTCTTGAGACAAGGTGACTAGAAAGGTCCTCTGGCATGCGGAATTACTTGCACCAGTATTGGTGTACAACAGCTTCTTCATCTACTCATACAATTACCATGGCTTTCGATGAAGTACTACCAATACTATCACAAGAATGCTGAGTTGTGGGCAAAAGTCGTGCCCCAGGCGGGAGTCGAACCCCGGGCGAGTGCGCTATCCGTTACGCCACCAGGGCCGCTTTTACCCTCTCAGCTTAACGGCTTTCGTGTGAGTGCTGTAAGGCTACGGCATAAAAGCCGTTAAGCTGAGAGGGTAAAGCGGCCCTGGTGGCGTAACGGATAGCGCACTCGCCCGGAAAGCGTGAGGTGCGGGTTCGACTCCCGCCTGGGGCACGACTTTTGCCCACAACTCAGCATTCTTGTGATAACATTCGGAACGCGTACTGCGGCGTTAAACAGCAGTTCATAACAAAACTACCAATACTATTAGGACGAGACAGTCATCAGAAAGCGTGCCCCTCTGAAAAATGTCCAAGAGCGCCATTTTCAACATGGAAAACCCATAGAAGGCTAGACTTTGCTGCGAAAATAGAGGCTCGCACTTTCAGATGGAGCACATCCGAGTGAATCGTTTGGCTCAATGTACCTGGCGGTGCTCTATTTCTCTAAGTTGACTGTGTTTTAGAAAACCAACCATAAGAACAGCTCAAATTTCATTCCTAACAATTGGTACATTTGTAGTCAAACGAAGAGAAAAAGATGCCAAAAGGCAGCGCCATAGTTCGCACTGCTTTACACACCACTTTCATGACTTCTGGAGCACTAGATGAGCGGCAGGAAAACAAGCTGCTATCCTTGCCGTTCTGTTGAGGAAATTTGCCCGTCTACTTTAGCAATCAAAGAAGGGAGTGAATGCGGAACACATTTCGCATGAGCTCGTAAACGACTACGGTATGAAGCTTGCTCCTGCTCACAAAAAGGTACAGCTCGGTAAGGTAGCTCTAAGACTTTGAAAACTTCACATATGCTACGAGCTCCTTTTCACACAGAATTCTCCTTCCAGAAACATTAAAAATCATGCAACGCATGCACAGATTTCAAAGTTCTTTCCTGAATATGAACTCACCCTTTTTAGCGGTAGCGTCTGTGGTCACGTCATGCTGAGCCGGTGTCTCCACAGTTTCTTCTGTAGGTCTGTCAACAATGGAGCGAACTTCCTCCTCAACATTTGCACAGAGATCATCCTCGGGGAATTCGAAATCACCACCGCCATATACTTCTCTGAAAACGGCAATCTTCAATTTATATTGACTACGTTTACTTGTAGATGTCATTCAGGAACTGTTGTTGCCCAAAATCTCGAGTTGGAATCAGAATCAGAGCACTGAATCAACAGCTGAAGCCAAAATGGCATTCAAAAACATGATTCACTGATCACAAGAATGCTGAGATATTGGCAAAAGTCGGACCCGGGACGGGACTTGAACCCGCATCTCCCGCTTACCGGGCGGTTGCGTTATCCATTACGCTACCGGGGCCTCCTTTGCCTTCTCAGCTCAATGGCATTTTGTGCCATAGCCTTACAGCACTCACATTCTTGTGATAACTTACGGAGCGCGCACTGCGGCGTTAAACAGCAGTTATCAGAACTAAAACAGCTTTATAATGATTCACTGACTTCCACAAAGAGGGGATGACTTTCGGTTGACACTTGCCCACAACCTTTCTCAATAGAAAAAAATAATATGAGAGAATGTGGAAACATGCCGTCTCTTCTTCAATGCTCAGTTAAAGTAGAACTGAGGAGTCATCTCCATGGATTCCGGACCTTGCCGTGAGCTCGTAGCTGCATTTGCGGACCTTTTTCTTTTCTAAGATGTGCACGGGAACGGGCTGGAAGGTAGTACTGCCTAGATGGCAATGAGGGTAATGTATCGTGATGCGGTCTCCACTCTTCGCCCGCGCTGCCCCACGGTCAGCCAACATGCCTAGCCATAGGATCGCGTCCAGACTTCACGACAAGGTCGCGTGACCACGACCGGGGACGCTCCATCGCCAAACGCTGCACCGCTGCAACGGATTAACTCAGATTATCTGAACACACTGTGAATTCTGCCGCTGCAACGGTGCACCTCTCTGCGGTGGAGCGCCTCCGATCGTGATCGCGCAAATCCAGTCGAGCGATCCGATCGCGAAGTCTGAACTCGATCGAGCCAAATGAGCTCTTGTCTGCGCTCTCCCACTTCTTTGCTCTCTAGCACTGGATACGTGTTCCACTGCGAGACATTAGGACGCAAACGATGCAGCTTGTGGATAGTGGCGGCAGAGTATGGAGACGGCACTCGTGTACTACAACTCTACAGCCTCGTTCCTGGGAACGTTCGAGCAGAGAAAGTGACACGCTACTGCAGCTGCGGACCCATCGCTTCGAACATTGCAAGGAACATCCTCAGAGGTGAATGTACAGTTTGTCCTTTGAACCAGTATCCATTACAGTGAAAGATAATCAATACACAGAATCTTCTACAATAGCAATGATGAGAATATGAGGCAAATCAAAGAACACACTTACTCATTGAACGAATGTTGTGAGTCTGCTTTGGTCGCGCCTGGTGCCGCAGTGTCCGGGTTGAGTGACTGACGAGGAGTCGCAGTCAACGCCTTCTGGCTGTTTTGAGTGTGGCATTTTGGGGGCAATGAACGTCTGGATATTTTTGGCAGAGTTCTGTTCTCCCGAAGTAGTTTCTCATCCGGCTTCTCCATGTACGAAACATAGAGAGAGACTGCTTCATTGAGACGTTCTAGCCAATTTCTACGGTCCTTTTCGATATCCTGATATTTGACCGTCACATAGTACCAGGAGCTAGCTGCTATCTTCTTCGCAGCCTCGTGAATATCATTACGTAGTTGCAGCAAACGGCCTTCCCTGAAAACATCCCACATGGGGCGGAGACAACATTATTCACAGCAGAGCTACTGATCGATCCGTAGAGAAAGATCTTCGAATAAAAATGAGCACATACATCCTCGGGTAATTACAGCAGCGAAAGTACTACTGTTCCGACGATAAATACCTAATGTTGGCGCTAGGTCAATACACCATGGATCCACGCGATGTATCTCTGCGAATATGTATGTATGCGTATTTTCTGGATGTTAATACTCTCATCTCACTCATACCGATACTTCACCACTATCGCTCATCCCATTGTATCTTCCTGGGCGGAAACATTTTTGCTTCAGATCGCATTCTTCCGCGCTGCCATACCAGCGCCAATACTTTCAGTCTCTTTGCCCCAAAGTAGGTCAACAAGTTTATTTTCTGGCGAAAAGCCAGGCCAGAAATTACAATCGAGAAGAAGTTAGGCTGGTATTGAAGACTCTATGTCACAGAATATACGTTAGCAAGCATGGGTTATTTAAAAAAAATATGTGCTATATGTGTTACCTTAAGCTCTCATGAGCTTGCTCAACGGTGACCCTGAATTTGAATACTTTCATATGATAAGTTGCATCCATGTATCGCACATCAGTATGAGTGCCGCATTTCTGAACAAATATATTATTCGAGAATTATGTTGTCCCGAAGCCTCATGGTTGCCTAGATGTTCAAAAATAAGAAGAAGCTCCAAAAAGTTTTTGTTGAAGACCTCGCGC